GGCACCTCATGGCAAAGAACTCTCTGAGGATCTGAAAAAAGGAACTGTTGCTCTACATAAAGATAGCCTAGTCTATAAGAAGATTGCCAAGACCCTGAAACTGAGCTGCAGCACGGTGGCCAAGACCATACAGCGGTTTAACAGGACAGGTTCCACTCAGAACAGGCCTCGCCATGGTTGACCAAAGAAGTTGAGTGCACGTGCTCAGCGTCATATCCAGAGGTTGTCTTTGGGAAATAGACGTATGAATTCTGCCAGCATTGCTGCAGAGGTTGAAGGGGCGGGGGGTTCAGACCATACGCCAAACACTACATCAAATTGGTCTGCATGGTTGTCGATCCCGGAAGGATACCTTGTCTAAAGATGATGCACAAGAAAGCCAGCAAACAGTTTGCTGAAGACAATCAGACTAAGGACATGGGTTACTGGAACCATGTCCTGTGGTCTGATGAGACCAAGATAAACTTATTTGGTTCAGATGGTGTCAAGCGTGTGTGGCGGCAACCAGGTGAGGAGTACAAAGACAAGTGTGTCTTGCCTACAGTCAAGCATGGTGGTGGGAGTGTCATGGTCTGGGGCTGCATGAGTGCTGCCGGCACTGGGGAGCTACGGTTCATTGAGGGAACTATGAATGCCAACATGTACTGTGACATACTGAAGCAGAGCATGATCCCCTCCCTTCGGAGACTGGGCCGCAGGGCAGTATTCCGACATGATAACGACCCCAAACACACTCCAAGACGACCACTGCCTTGCTAAAGAAGAGGGTAAAGGTGATGGACTGGCCAAGCATGTCTCCAGACCTAAACCCTATTGAGCATCTGTGGGGCATCCTCAAACGGAAGATGGAGGAGCGCAAGGTCTCTAACATCCACCAGCTCCGTGATGTCGTCATGGAGGAGTGGAAGAGGACTCCAGTGGCAACCTGTGAAGCTCTGGTGAACTCCATGCCCAAGAGGGTTAAGGCAGTGCTGGAAAATAATGGTGGCCACACAAAATAATGACACTTTGGGCCCAATTTGGAAATGTTCACTTAAGGGTGTACTCACTTTTGTTGCCAGCGGTTTAGACATTAATGGCTGGGTGTTGAGTTATTTTGAGGGGACAACAAATGTACAAGCTGAATGATTGTAGATTTCACAATTTATTGAATGGTTTTTTGCTTTCTTCCAAATTGCCCCTCGTGTGCAGGTAGAAGTGTATGGTGGAGAAATAAGGAGTAGGATTTGTTTGTATAGGTGGATGGGTGATTCTCCTGTGGAGAGGTTGGTTTATGTATAGTGAGGAGAATTGACTTGTATATGTTCCAGGGGGTGGATTCCATTTTTCAACTAGGTTGAGCAGTCGGAGAGCATAAGAAATTGATGATTTATTTAATTATTTAGTAGGGAATGTATAGGGCATAGGTTTCCTAAAACTGGTGGACGTCTGTTCTAAGGTGACCTCCTCTTCCTATACATGCTATGAAAGTGACAGAATAACACTACAGGGATTTGTCCACATCTCAGTCCGAGATGATGCTGTAGACCAGAGGTGGCAAACACAAGGCCCTCGGGCCGAATCCGGCCCGCCGGACCTTGTAATGTGGCCCGCACAGCAGCCAGGGCCGGTCCGCTATGCCGACTCTGTGCAGAGCAGTGTCTACTGTGTGGTAGCGAGCAGAGCCGGCACTACCACACAGTAGACACTAGAGGGCGCTGGTGGGGGAGGCCAGAGAAACACCTCCTCCCCCAGCCCTCTCTACTCTGTACTCTTTCCGGAGCTTGCTGGTGCTGTTCCTGCAGCCTGCACTGTCCCGGTACCGGCCGAGATATGAACATATGAATGGGCCGCGGTAATGTGCATATCAATAAGCCGCGGCCCATTCATATGTAAATATCGCAGCTCATTCATATGCAAATCGCCGCCCCTCCCCCGCTGCTAAGGAAGAGAAGGGAAGAGAAGACTGCAAGAACAAGGTATGTGTATGGCCAGGGATTTACTCTCCCTGCCGCCGCAAGGCCAAATTCCACAATACACCCCCCTCCCCGACAACCCTCCCCCCTCCATTAATGGAGAATGGCAGGGTTAGTTTTAATTTTTTTTATTGTTTGTTTCCCCTTTTATTAGCACTTTTTAAATTTTTTAACTTTTTTTATTTATCTTGTCGTTTTACTTTTTAATTTTTTTATAATTTTTTATCTTATTGTTTATTTTTTATAATTCTTTTCTCATTTATTTCTTAGTATTTTTTACTTTTTCATCACCTTTTAATATACCCCTGCTGTAGACTCTGAGAGCTACATATTAATTCCAGCGCCTATTGGAAAGGCCATTTTTTAAATAGAAGAAATTCCACTTGTTTTTCTAGGGTATGTAACCACAATACTGGAGGATGCAAAGATTTACTCAAGTCATGCTAAGAAGAACAATATTGATGCAGATGATGTCAGACTGGCCATTCAGTGTCGGACAGACCAATCTTTTACCTCTCCACCTCCAAGAGATGTAAGTACAATATATAACATCTCTCTGTACAGTCTAGTGTGCGTTTTACTATCGCCCTTGTACAGTTCACAGTGCATTTAATGGCTCAGGATGAAATCCATTCTCCCCATTCAGGAGTACATCCCACAGTCCTTCGTTTAACACTTTACAATGCACTTCATAGCCGTCCTTCTCGTCACACTATATAATGCATGTTTAGCCATCTTTCTGTTTACACTGTACAATGCATGTCACAGCCGTCCTTCTTGTCACACTATATAATCCATGTCACAGCCATCCTTCTCTTCATACTGTACAATGCATGTCACAGCCGTCCTTCTTGTCACACTATATAATCCATGTCACAGCCATCCTTCTCTTCATACTGTACAATGCATGTCACAGCCATCCTTCTCTTCATACTGTACAATGCATGTCACAGCCGTCCTTCTCTTCACACTGTACAATGTATGTTAAAGCCATCCTTGTCTTCATACTGTACAATGCATGTCACAGCCATCCTTCTCTTCCCACTGTGCAATGCATGTCACAGCCATCCTTCTACACACACTATACAATGCATGTCACAGCCATCCTTCTACACACACTATACAATGCATGTCACAGCCATCCTTCTCTTCCCACTGTACAATGCATGTCACAGCCGTCCTTCTCTTCACACTGTACAATGCATGTCACAGCCATCCTTCTCTTCCCACTGTGCAATGCATGTCACAGCCATCCTTCTACACACACTATACAATGCATGTCACAGCCATCCTTCTACACACACTATACAATGCATGTCACAGCCATCCTTCTACACACACTATACAATGCATGTCACAGCCATCCTTCTCTTCCCACTGTACAATGCATGTCACAGCCGTCCTTCTACACACACTATACAATGCATGTCACAGCCATCCTTCTCTTCCCACTGTACAATGCATGTCACAGCCGTCCTTCTCTTCACACTGTACAATGCATGTCACAGCCATCCTTCTCTTCCCACTGTACAATGCATGTCACAGCCATCCTTCTACACACACTATACAATGCATGTCACAGCCATCCTTCTCTTCCCACTGTACAATGCATGTCACAGCCGTCCTTCTCTTCACACTGTACAATGCATGTCACAGCCATCCTTCTCTTCCCACTGTGCAATGCATGTCACAGCCATCCTTCTACACACACTATACAATGCATGTCACAGCCATCCTTCTCTTCCCACTGTACAATGCATGTCACAGCCGTCCTTCTCTTCCCACTGTACAATGCATGTCACAGCCATCCTTCTACACACACTATACAATGCATGTCACAGCCATCCTTCTACACACACTATACAATGTATGTTGTAGCCCTCCTTCTACACACACTATACAATGTATGTTGTAGCCCTCCTCCTACACACACACTATACAATGTATGTTGTAGCCCTCCTTCTACACACACTATACAATGTATGTTGTAGCCCTCCTCCTACACAAACACTATACAATGTATGTCGTAGCCCTCCTTCCACACACACTATACAATATATGTTGTGGCCCTCCTACACACACTATACAATGTATGTCATAGCACCCCTCCTACACGCACTATACAATGTATGTTGTAGCCCTCCTTCTACACACACTATACAATGTATGTTATAGCCCTCCTTCTACACACACTATACAATGTATGTCGTAGCCCTCCTTCTACACACACTATACAATATATGTTGTAGCCCTCCCTCTACACACACTATACAATGTATGTTGTAGCTCTCCTTCTACACACACTATACAATATATGTTGTAGCCCTCCCTCTACACACACTATACAATGTATGTTGTAGCTCTCCTTCTACACACGCTATACAATGTATGTTGTAGCCCTTCTTCTACACACGCTATACAATGTATATTGTAGCCCTCCTTCTACACACGCTATACAATGAATGTTGTAGCCCTCCTTCTACACACGCTATACAATGTATGTTGTAGCCCTCCTTCTACACACGCTATACAATGTATGTCGTAGCCCTCCTTCTACACACGCTATACAATGTATGTCGTAGCCCTCCTTTGACCCACAATATACAATGTATGTTGTAGCCCTCCTACACACACTACACAATGTATGTTGTAGTATGCATGTATTGCATATTTACCTATTTATTTTCTTAGTTTTTACTAGATATTGCAAGACAGAAGAACCAGACACCACTTCCCCTAATAAAACCTTACGCAGGTCCCAGATTGCCTCCGGACAGATACTGTCTTACCGCACCAAACTATCGGCTTAAAACAATACATAAAAAGGTATGTCTGTCATTGTGGGGTTTTTTTTGGGAAAGCTGTGTGAAGTCAAGCGGCTTATTTTAGTTTTGACCTGTGAGTGCAAATGTTTTTGTCTAACACTTTGTACATGACTGATTCCTTATGCCCTCTGCCCAAATCAGGCAAATTAATTCTTACTGCTTGATTAAACAGTATGTATCAGTAATAAAATCTTAGCAGTCGGTTGACAATAGCAAGTCTTTGTTGGTGCATACACACTGCTGTACTAAATTTTCATCCCTACTGGTAGAAAACTCTGCATGAAAGAAACTTTAGCATGTCATATATGTGTGCTAATTGTTTTTTGTTTTTTTAAACTGCAATTTATTTCCTGAATTCAGTGATTCATTTGTTGAAAATGTGTTTGTATATGTCAGACATGCAGTACATGGAAGGCAACCAAAGAATAGTTTTGAATTAGAAGTTTTCTTTAAAGTGACACTAAACACAGGAGTTTAATCTTAAAAATGCATTCAAGTACCATAACTATTAACAAAAATGTATTTATTTGTGTATCACACGGATGTAAATCCTCAAATCATTTCTTGCTGACACTGTCCTTTCTTCTGGAGAGTGGCTACTTATGTTCCCCATGGTTCCTGTGTGTGTGTTGTAAAGTAGTCAAAGCTTCAAGCCCACTCCTGTGATGGACTACAATCTCACATTTTGTTAACTTATTTGTATTAATATTATAGTCTATTACGGGAGTGATCTTGGAGCGGTCCAAAAAAAGAAAAAGCATTAAACCACATGTTTTAATGTGCATTGCAAGAAATGACAGAAAGCACATTGACGTGAGCTTTCATGTGTTTCTGTTGACCTTAGTGGTAGAGAGGTGTGAATGCCGCCTTATTCTTTCTGGTTTGTTAAATCTAGATCAGTGGTTCTCAACTCGTGGGTCGCGACCCAAAAGTGGGTCGCGGCGTCATGTCTGAATAGACCGGCCTGAGACTGAATAGAGAGGGGGAATTTGTGGTTCAGCCTGTGGAACCTCATGTCAAACTGTCCCCTCTCTCCCGGCCTCCCCCGGGCTCTCTGATAAAGTGGTATGGCCCGGGGAGAGAGGGGACTATTTCCTCACTTTCGGGCCGGCGCAATAATATCAGGAGCCGCGGCTCCCGACAATTAAGTTATAGTTCCGGCCTGCACTGGAGAGTACAGCAGATATCAATCCGCCGCTGTATCTACTGTACTCTCCAGTCCAGATAGTTCAGTCGGCTGGAATCAGAGAAAGGTAGGCAGGCAG